GGAGACCGAGCAGTAGGGCTCCTCAGGAGCCTGCCTCACGGGGCAGCCAGGGAGCCAGGTGCGCAGGATACCTCAGGCTCCAGGGACAATGTGGCCGCCTGTGCTGGGAACTTTGTTTGCTTTTTCTAATTTTTTTCTTTTTATTCTCTTCAGTTCATTGTATCTCATCCTCTGTGGTATCTCTGTGGCTCTCTAGAGGGAAGGCGCTGGGGACCCAGGGCTTGCTCTGCACGCTGTGGATGGACACAGAGACCCCAGGTCACTACAACCACAAGAATGGGATCCTAATTAGAATCAGCTATACTCCATGTACGTGTAATATGTCAGAACACTCTACTGCCCTGTGTATCTACAAAGAACAAGTAAAAAACGTAGAGGACATTATACTAAGTGAACTAAGCCAGTCCTAAAAGGGCAAATACCACATGATTCCACTTATAGGAGGCATCCACAGCAGGAACACTGATGAGAGCAGCACGCAGAACTGTGGTTGCCAGGATGGGGAGTGGGAAATGGGGAGATGCTCTTCCACGGACATAAAATTTCTGTTAAGCAAAATGAAAACGTTCTGGAGATCTGCTGTGCAACCTCGTACTTAGAGTTAGCCATGCTATATTATATACTTATAATATTTTGTTTGGAAAAAGAAGAAAAAAATTCTTCATTATTGGAGATCTTGATGGTCCAGAGACCAATATGTGCAAAAGCCATGATATTGGCCGAAATTTAGAAGGATCAGCTATGAATGTGGTGTCATTTTAGAAATAACTTAACCAACTTATTGAGTTGGTTAGGAGGACACAAGCCAGTTGGATCTCTGGAGTGGAGTATTCTAGAAAAGCAAAGCGTGGATGGGAAGCAGGTATGATTGATACACTTCAGGACACGTCTGCAATGTGCTTTCAGGTTAGTGGCTCAGAGCTCTGGAGGTGGCAGAATGCAAAACACTGAGTCCCTAACTTAAGGCACTCAGGGAACAGTGCTCATGGCCCTGGGAAAGGCCCCAGTGCTGGGTACATCAGGGGGCTGCACCTCAGGTCCTCAGGGGGTTGGAACAGAGCCAGCCACTGAGGGCTGGTGTGGATGCTCCTCAGTGTTGCCATGGAGACCATCCCCCAAGAACCTGGCTCCAAGGAGATTTTATAGGCTTTAGGTGGTGCAGCAGGAGAGAGGCCTCACCAGAAGGGAGCCTGCGGCCCTGAAGGGGAGGACTCCAGAGTTCCCCAGGCCTGTTCACGCTGCAGAAGAGCTGGGCTTCCTTGTCATCTCCCACCAGACCTGCACCTGCCGAGCCCCTCCCTGCGCTGCAGCCATAGGTGTGCACGGGAAGGGAAGCCACCTCTAGGCCATACGAGACCATTGCCAAGGTGAGAAGGGGAGGTGACCGTGTGACCCACCGTGGCCCCAGGAAGAAGGCCTTGGCCGTGGGGCTCAGACATGCCCATCTCCTGGCAGGAGCTCCTTGGAGTGGAGCTGGAGTACAGGAGTGGGTGGCCGAGGTCATTGGCACTAGGACAGCCCCTCTGCTCCGAGTCTGTGTCAGCTACCCCTGGTGAAAGGATGTGAGTGTGATTGTCCCTGAACAGATCCGTTCTTCACTATAATAAATGTCTAAGTCTTGTATCTGAGGTCTCCATCCACCATCCACCAACACTAAAAGCCCTTAGAGAAAGATCATTGGCCAGCCTGTTCCCCCAGCCCTCAGTGTCTCACAGGGCCATGGACACAACAAAGCAGGCATTTCCAGGTTTTATTGTAACAGGGTGTAAGAAGCTGTCCACCCAATGCACACAGCACCTGTCCACCCTGTGCCAGCCAAGGGCCAGGCTCAGTCCCACGAGACCTGACTCTCACACAAGTCCTGCTCCTTGCTCTGAGAAGCTTGGCCTGGAGGGGAGCCAGACAGAGGCACAGCCAGCTTCCACTCCAGTGTCCGGGTCAGAAGTGCCAGAATGGGCCAGCAGGAGGGACCTGGGGAGCCACATCTGCACATTGCCCTCTCAGGCCTCCAGGGCTCTGCACTGAGTCCAGCAGGTGGGGGTGTGTTCCGGGGCTGAGGGGGTAGGATCAGTTCCACACTTGAGTCGGCCATTCAGGGAAGAGGTCTTCAGCAGGAAGCCGGACCTGGGAGGGGGGCTTCAAAGCAGGTCCAGAAGGCCCTTGGAATTTCCTGGGTCTGAGCCTCTAGAGAACAGACATTAATCAGATACTGTCAGGGGCCAGGCCCTACATGTACACTATGAAATGTTTACCCCAAATTAGTTTAAGTGAAAATGTTTAAATGAAAAAAATAAATAAATTTTTCCTCGAGAGAAATCCAGAGTTTTCTTAGGGAGTCTTTAAAGCTATAACCTCCTACACTCTGAGGTCTGCAAAGCTTAACATTCCTCAACTGAACCAATGGCAGTGTTTGTGTTTCTGGGGACCTTTCCAGAATAGCATCAGGCACGTTTGAAAGGCTGCCCCCTGGTGGACATTTCCTGAGCTTCTTTTCTTGCCCCCTCCATACTTGAGGCAGTTGGAGATCTCTTGGTCATTCTGGCACGTTCTTTGGAAAGTCCCTAGTACCTCTATTCAAATGTTCTTCAGTTAGAGGTGAAGAACCCCCAAATCTATTTCCAATCTTCCCGACATTTCCTGATAAAACAAAGTTTAATATCAGCTTGTTGAGATTTGCTGCTGTGGCTTAGGGATTTCATAGTGACCCAAAGAGAAAACACAGAGTTATTTGGTTTCTCCAAGTTTTGCAAAAAGTATTCCCCAATTTGTCAAAAAAAAAAAAGCAAAATGAAAAGTGAACCTCAAAGAGTCTTAACCAGTTTTGAGATTGAGAAAGTAGAAAACCTTCTACCTTTAGCCCAATTTAGCAAGTAGTTGAAATGTACCGCTGACTTGGAAAGGATCCCCTCCCCAAAGTGAGGCCATCTGCCTCCTTTACATTGACAGACACTGCCAGGTGTGGGCAGCTAGGAGGACGTGGCCTCAGGGCCCCAGAGGGTCTCAGCAGTGGCTGAAACGTCATTGTGCCACCCAGGCCACCAGGCCAGAATCTCTGTGGGGATGGGAAGGTCAGGTATTGGCACTGAATGCAGATCTACTCCAGTCCCTTCCTTTTACCAGCGAGAACATTGAGACCCAGGAAGGAGGGACCGCTGGACCTGGCCACGTTATTGAGAACTGACGGGAATGTGGGTCAGAAAATCTTGAATTCAGTTGGAAATTTCCAAACTCGTTCTGGATTCTGTGGTGACACCTAGAGGTGATGATGTCCCACCTGGGTGCTTGTTCAGGTCTATTTCTCTGCCTTTCCTCCCACAGAGACCCTCCTGCCTCTCAGTCACCTTGCACTGCCTCCTAATAGCCTGGCCTGCTCCCCAGGCCTAGCTGTCCAGAGCCACCTCCCCGTCCTCGTATCACACAGAGGAGCCACAGCTGGGCTCTGGCTCTGGGTACTGAGTAGGAAGTGGGTTTCTTTGCTGTAGGCTGAGACCAGATCCGTTAGCTCAATACCTCACCTGCCACCAAACTCAAATATTTGCACATCCAGTGACTTAAATACAGTCCAAAGAGGTGACTGTTTCTCCATTCAGAGCTGCTTGCTTTTCCTCCTGCATGAAGCTGTACCCAGGAACAGGGACAAGGACCTGGCCCCAAGTTGCTGCCCTTTGGAGCCTTCTGAAGCAGAGACTCCCCATTGTACTGCAGAATGACATCTGGGCACACAGTCCACCTCCTGTTCCCTGTCCCTGGGAATCCCCTTGGCCTCTCCCCACCTCCTCATTGTGACCTCTGGACAGACCCCTGCTGTGAAGAAATTCTTCCCATGGCAAACCTTCCAGAGAGCATCAGGGCATCGCCCAGCATTGCTCATACTACTGTCACCTCATGGTCATATCTTTTCCTAGCTAGGTCCCCAAGTCCCTTGAATCCCTGTTGATATATCAGTGGCCAAGTCATTGATTTTCCAAGTAGCTGATGCGTGCAGAGCACGCCAAGCCTTGAGCTGGGGACTTGGGACACACAATGGAAGAAAGCAGACAGAAACCTCTGCCTGTGTTGGGCTGACATTTTGGCAGAGTTGTGACAGCCAAAAGATTTCCCTTAGAACAGCTGGAGTCAAAGAAAGGCAGGAAGAGGGGAGTTTGGGGATTGGTCCCCGAGCTAGTGGGATGGAGAGCAAGGACAAGAATTGGGTGTGAAGAATCCCCTGGATAAATATGTCAGAGCTCATACGCTGCATGGGGGCTGCATTAGAGCAGCCTTTCTCAGACTTTAACCTGCTGGGCTCACGGAGGCTGGGTGAAGATCAAGATGCCAAGCTGGGAAGTGTGACGGGAGGCCAGGCGTGTGCATTTTAACTCCGAGTGGTGCTGACAGAACTGACCCACAGACCACACTGGGAGCAACAGGGTTTTAGGGCAGATCGCTCTGCACACAGACTCTTGCTGGACTCATCGCAGTAACCACAGATGGCTGTCGCTAGGCTCTCTGCATTATCTCTTATTTACATTGACAGATAAGAAAACTGAGCCTCTGAGATTGGAGCTGACGCCAGTGTGCACATGGAGCAAGCAGGAGAGCCAGGGTGTGGCTAGGCTCCCAGAGCTCCCCTGAGGGTCTAGGCTGGACCTGGCTCACACAAAGCCTCTGGACCCTTAGGATCCTCAGACCCCACATCATGCTGTAAGATTTGCCTGTCACGTCGGGTGCCGCTGGCTGTGGCTTATTCACTGTCTTTGCTATGAGGGTCACACTACATGCAATGGATGGAGGTGATGGGCATTGGTGGTTTTTCCGGTTGGGGCTCTTTGTGGACAGTGCTGACCACACCTGCCAGGCTGGGACATTTGCTCCCATGTAATCTGGTGACCATGAGGACCAAGGAGGAAAGGACTCTCAGACGAGAGGCTCTCAGAGAGAAATAGATCATTGGCCTGCCTGTCCACCCAGCCCTCCATGCCCCGAGCCTCACAGGGTGACAGACATCTGCAACACAGTAGGCATGTTCGAGGTTTTATTGTAACACAGCGCTGAAGTCACAAGGAGTAAGTTTTCCACCCAACGCACAGAGCACCTGTCATTGTGTGCTGGCCAAGGGCCAGGCTCAGTCCCAGGGACCTGAGACACACACAAGTCCTGTTCCCTGCCCGAGGAGCCCACGGCCTGCGGGGGAGCCAGACGGAGGCAAGCCAGTCCCACTCCAGTCTCCGCATCAGAAGCGCCAGAATGGGCCAGGAGCAACTCCTCGGTCCTGGCAGAGCAGGAGGGACCTGGGGGAGCCCCATCTGCCCAGTGCAGAGCAGGGGACTTACGTGGAGTGCAGATGGTGCTCGGGGCCAGGCATGGGCTCAGAGTACGGGAATGTTTCAAAAAGAACAAGAACAGGACTCCGATACAGTCCACTAATGTTTAATTTCTAAAGTTTGGGACATTACAAAAGGAAGGGAAATGAGGTCATATGCCGCCTGCTTTCTCGTTTCCCGCCACCTCACAGGTGCAGGACATCCTAATGCCCCATCCCTCTCAGAAGGGATCCAACCTCCAAATTCCTTCATAGGGAGTACAGTTGGCTAATAAATATTACCATGAACTCCCTAATCTCTACTTTCCATAGACCCTTAAAGACTTTCCCACGGCCAGGGATGGAGCTCAGTGGAAGAGCTGGTGCCTTCGCACAGGGAGACCCCGGGTCCAATCCCCAACACCAAAACCAAAACCAACAACAGCAAACTTCCCCAGGGACCAGCCTCAGCTGGTAACACAGGTCATGAAGCCACCTGGGGAGGGCACTGACCTGATGGATGGGGGTCATGTGTGGGGCAGGGGGAATGGAGCAGAGGGAGGAGAGCAGGGGGCGCTCAGCGGGCAGGTGGTCTGGATTTCCCCACCTCACCTCGCCCAGAGAGAGGTCAGAGGCAACCTAGAAGGGTTTGGAGCAGGGGCTGCTGGGATCCCATCTGCACTTGGAGAGATGATCATTCTGGAGGCAGCATGGAGGTGGGGGTCACCAAAAGGCTGCAGGCAGAATCCTGTTGTGGGGTTCTGATGCCTCCTTCCAGGGTCCACCCTGAAAAGGTCCCGCCTCTGACCTCACAGCTGTCAGGAGCCCCCAGGCAGGGGTGGACAGGCAGGCCCTGGAGTCATCTATGGCCCGGGAGTGTGGAAGGGCAGGTCTGGCCTGTACTACTGGTCCTCCTGGAAGTAGAACTTGGTGACCACAAGGGTGTCTTCGGGCCTGTTGGTGAGGCTGACAGGCTGGTCAGCTTCCAACGCCGTGCAGATGAACCAGCCCGGGCAGGCTGCAGACTCAAAGCTGGTGGTGGGGCCGTTGTCTGAGCGGATGAAGGAGAAGCGCTTGTCCTGCTCCTTGGTCCTGCTCAGGTCGGTGATGTTAACTGCCTGGAAGTCAAGAGTCAGGTGGGTGATGGCTGAGGGCCTGGGAAGTCCTGCCCTCACCGTGCTGTGGGCCCCTGGCTGGGCCAGGCTAAAGTGTTGGAGAAATGCCTGGACCCAGCCAGCAACCACAGCCCAGGTCTCATAGGACAGCACCAAGATCTCCAGAGACCACGGGTCCCAGGTCTCATAGGACAGCACCAAGGTCTCCAGAGACCATGGGTCCCAGGTCTCATAGGACAACATGGATACAAACAGTTGGCCCCTCATCATACCCTGACTTTGGAAATGTGGTCACTCTGGCCACAGACCAGGAAGTCTGCTAAACACAAGACCCATCCACAGAGGCCAGGGCTGGGGTCTGTCAGGGTTGAGCCTCCAAGGAAAGTGGGTGGAGGAGAGATGGGCAGAGTCTCAAGGCTCATTTGATTTGTTACATGAGCTATCCTGGCCAGCCCTGCTCCACACAGAACAACTGTCACCCTCCAAAAAAGTTCTCTTGTCTACTGGTGGAGGGAAGTGACATTGTCATGGATATGGACACTTGCATTTGGATGAAGATCTTGCCCAACAAGCCCCTGAGACAAAGCCATCTTTCCCCAGACTGGTACAGCCCATTACTATTGAATGGGACCAGGGAGTAGCAAGGGTCAGGATGGGATCCCTACCATTCAAGCTAAATAGATAAGATTCAGAAGAGAAAGGTCCTGAGGATAGGCCTTGTTCAAAGAGGCAGGTCCCCCGGGCAGTGCTGTGGCCCATAGTGGTTCAGGACCTGTGATAAAGTGTCATGTTGGTGGTCCCAATGAACTGTGCCCCCTCCTAGCGTTCACACTCTTGGGCCATCCCCTCCCAAGCTGAATCCAGACTTAGCCATGCAGCCGCCATTTGCGGATAGGATCACACAAGTAGAAGTTTAATAGGTGCTTTCCCATTGAGGCTTGTCTCTTTGGGATGATCCCTTGTGGAGGCCAGCCGCCATCTTGTGAGGAAGTCTGGCTAACTCCCAAACATTGAGAGCCTCGGGGGCCGGGAACCATGGTGGACACCAGCACCAGTCAAGGTCACTGAGGAAGGCAGCCGCAGGAGGACCCCAGCACCTTTCTCCAAGTGAACCCGAACAGCCCAGCTGATCCTGGGCCACTCACAGAATCATGAGAACAAACTGCTTTAAGCCACTGGGCTTTGGAGGGGTTGGATGCCCCAGAACAGATCCTTACCTCCAACTGGAGCCGGATGTCATCACCAGACTTGACACAGGACAGGCACAACTTCCCCCCGTGGATCCCCAAGAACATAGCATGAGGGTCGATGGGCACCATGTCTATCTTTTCTGGGGAAGAGAAGAGAGGAGGATCAGGAGGAAGGAAGAAGAGGCAGGGATGTGGAGGAGACCCTGAGTATTGTTTTTGGTCCCCTCTCCACAGCTAAAATCCAGGGTCAGAAGGACAGGGAGGCCCCACCTTCCTGTCTGTGTCCAGAGGGAAGTTCACTCCCTGCTTAAGCACTCCCCAGAGGCTGAGGCTCTAGTCTCTGCTTCATGTGACTTCTCCCCTCGCTCTCCCAGGACACCTGTGCTCCAGGTCAACAACCCTGCTGCCAACCGCCAGGGACAGCAGCACACAAGAATGAGTGGGGCTCCAGGGGACCCTGGGGACTGGGAGTCCAGCTTCCCCATGCTCTCGTGTAGCAGGAATAATCTCAGCCTCCCTGTGCTTCAGCAAGTTCATGGGGAGAACTACCAGCAGGACAGGAAGGGAGGTCTCTGATTCTTTCCACGTAAGGTAGGGCAGAGGGAGCAAGGGGTTGGGCAGGGTGGGGCGAGGGAGACAGCACCATGCTACCTACCAAACAGGGAAGTGAGAGTATCTGGATGCCAGGGCTGAAAGAATCTCAAATCCTCCACCCCAGGACCCTCAGCTTACTAAAGGGAAAACTAGGCACGGGGTGAAGTTCATCCAAGTTCATCCAGCCGGTTTGGAGTGTGAACCAGAACATGGTGTCCGTGATTATTCATGGGACATGGCCCAGCCTTGCACAGGGGGTCTTAATCAGGGGCTGGCTCAAGTTTGAATGACACAGGAATGTGGGAGCCCTAATAGGCACAGGAGGAAGGGAAGGTCCCGTGTGACCTGTAGTGGTTCCCATCTCCCCAGCTTCCAACTCACAGGGATTAGAACATGGCACCTGAAATTGCAGGGACAGATGGCAATGCTGGGACTCCGGGAACAGAGTGAGCCAATTCCCATAAAACACTGGTTCCCCTGGAAACTACTCACCTTCTAATTTGATATTTGGCCCCTGCAAGTATCCGGCGACTAGTTGGTTGTTCCTCAGGTAGAAGGTTTTCTGATTAATATCCCAGATCCTGAAAAGGAAAAGAACCCAGTTGTAGTGGACACCTGGTATGTGCATGGTCCACTCATCAGCACCTTCCTGTGTCCCCCAGAGCTCACCTAGTCTGCTTCCGGTTCTACCAGGAGTGTGGACTTGCACACCCAGGACAGGGATGAGAAGACTGAGGCCGACAGCCCAACTCCCCCAGCTGGTGAGTGGAGAGCCCCTCCTACCCATTCCCTCAGCCTGCTTCTCTACAAGGGATTAAGGTTATTCCTGGAGTTATTGATTCTGATTATGCTGGAGACATTAAGATTTTAGTAGAGCCCTCATCTCAAAAAAGTTTGATTATTCATTAAGGGCAAAGGATTGCTCAGATCTTGTTACTTCCCTATGTATCGATAGGAAATTGAGCTATTTCGGAAGATCAAAGACAAACTAGAGGTTTTGGTTCTAGTGACTTGGCATTCGGGGTTAAAAAAAATTCAAACCTCTCGTCCTATGAAAAAATTAAAGATTCAAGGAAAAATAATTGAAGGCTATTGGACACAGGAGCAGACGTTACTTGTGTAGCAGGAAAAGCTTGTCCCTCGACCTGGCCTACAACGGTGACTCCCTCAATACTCAGGGGACTTGGAACTGCTACTAATGTAAAAAAAAAAAAAAAGCACACAAATACTTAAATGGGCTGATGACAAAAATTCTGTCACTTTTCTGCCATATGTGATTCCTCCTCTTCCTTTTACTCTATAGAGTCGAGACATAATGTTTAAAATGGGGGTTTCTCTCTGTACTGCTCTTGTAGAAGAGGCTCAACAGGATTTTTAATTGGGGCCATTGTTGAAACAGCAGATAAAATGACTTGGAAAAATGATGAGCCTGTATGGGTAGAACAGTGGCCCCTTATAACAGAAAAATTACAGGCTGCAGACTTGCTGGTTAAGGAACAGCTAATTTAAAACACATAGAACCCTCCAATAGTCCACGGAATACTACTATATTCGTTATTAAGAAATCAGGGGAATGGAGATTACTACAAGATCTAAGAGCTATCAATGCCACCATAGAAGATAGGGGGTCCCTACAACCAGGACTCCCTTCTCCAACAGCTGTCCCTAAAGGATCTCACGTTATGGTAATAGACTTACAAGACTGCTTTTTTACTATTCCATTACATCCTGATGATTGTAAGAAGGTTTGCTTTTAGCCTTCCCTCTGCCAATTTGAAACGACCATGCCAACGATTTCAGAGGAAGATATTACCTCAAGGTATGAAGAACAGCCCTACTCTCTGTCAAAAATATGTTGCATCGGCAGTACAACCACTAAGAGATAAATATAAAGATGCCTATGTTATCCATTATATGGATGATATATTAATTGCTCATGAAAACGTTCAATTGCTTTATCATATTTTATTGATGTTAACAATCTTTAAAAATTTTTGGTCTAATCATTGCCCCAGATAAAATTCAGCAATCCCCTTCTTATAATTATTTGGGTAGAATTATAAGTACTCAAGCTATTTCCCATCAAAATTTAAAATTAAGAATTGAGCATTTATAGACTTTAAATGATTTTCAAAAACTTTTAGAGATATTAATTGGATTCATCCTTTTTTGAAACTCACTACTACAGAACTTAAACCATTATTTGATATTTTGAGAGGAGACTCAAACCCACATTCTCTTCGGGTTTTGACAGAAGAGGCTAATCTGGCCTTATGCAAGGTAGAAGCGGTTAATAACAGTTGCAAAGAGTTGGCTATACTCAGATTTGGGATTTTCTTATTTTAGCTACTCCTCATACACCCACAGGGGATTTGTGGCAGTCAGGTCCTTTAGAATGGATGCATATGCCAGTTACCTCTGAGAAGGTCATCTGTTCATATCCTGCTGTGGTTGCATTATTAATAATCAAGGGAAGGCACAGAAGTAGAGAGTTATTTGGGAAAGATGTGCATAATTTTGTGATTCCTTATGCTAGAGATCAACTAAATACACTATGGAATATTCTGAAGACTGGCAAATAGCCCTACAGGGATTTTATGGTCACGTTAAATTTCATCTGCCATCTCATCCTTTGTTATACCTGGTTAAGAACCACCCTGTTATTTTTCCAAAATTGTTCTCTTCTGAGCCCTTACCTCAACCAGCAGTCTTAGTTTTCACTGATGGTTCTTCAAATGGACAAGCATCTTTAGTTATTAGTGATAAAACTTATGTTCAAAAGACAGAGGAAACTTCTGCTCAGAGGGCAGAAATGGTACCTGGAATCATGGTCAAATGTGAAAATCTTTCCTCATATAGAAACAGCCTCTCTTTCTCAGCATAAGACTACAATTTTTCATTAATTCCTTACAAAAGTTGATCCTAGAAAGACAACATCTATTTTATAGGACACATCTGAGGACATTCTAACTTTTCAGGAAAGTGTCACAAGGTAATGCTTTAGCAGATTCATAAACCCCCAATTTTTACTGTTCAAGAAGCTACAGCTAGTCACACTTTGTATCATCAAAATGCCTCCGCCCATCGACAGCAATTTCATATCCCTAGGGAATCAGCTAGGACTGTTGTTAGAAATTATCAAACCTGCCCAACATTATGGCTCTACCCATGGGGGTTAATTCTCGGGGTTTAAGACCTAATGATTTATGGCAAATGGATGTCACTCATATTCCTTCATTTGGAAAATTAGTTTATGTTCATGTCATTGTTGATACATTTTCCCATGTGATTATTGCCTCAGCAAAAACTGGGGAAGCATATAAATATATGGTCCAACATCTGTTTATTTGTTTCTCATATTTTGGGGATGCCTAAAACACTAAAAACAGAAAATGCACCAGCTTATACTTCAAATGCCTTTAAAAAATTTTATGACATGTTCACAGTCTCTCATTCTACGGGGATTCCCTGTAACCCTCGAGGACAAGCTATAATTGAGAGAGCTCATCAAACACTAAAGGCTCAAATTGCTAAACTTCAAGGAAAATATAAATACAGTTCTCCTCATCATGGTCTACAACATGCCTTGTTTGTGATTAACCTCCTTAATTGTGACTATAAAGGAGTAACTCTTATGCTAAGACATTGGGAAAATGAGAAAATATCAGCAAAACCCTTAGTGAAATGGAAAGATCTCTTGAAGGGAAAATGGAAAGGACCTGATTAATATATTATTAACTTGTGGGCGAGGGTATGCTTGTTTCTTCCCACAGGATGCGGATTCTCCCATTTGGATCCTGATAGACTGATTCTGTGTCCCAGCCTTCAGAACAGGAAGCGGAACAGATGGTTCCCTCCAAATCTCCAATACTTCCCACAATTGACCATGGTGCCCAAGGAAGATCTGACAACCACCTTGATTCCACCTCTTTCTCAATTACACTTCAACACTTCTCAACTCTTACCTAAACAAGCATCTTCTATGAGATCCGCAAGACCACCAACTTGGGGACAGATAGAACAACTGACTGATCAAGCTCCAGTACTTATTTTTTCTCAAATTCCTATGCACCATTAACCCTTTTTGCCTGTCAAGTAGCAAATATATCTTCTGAATATTTTGGGGCACATTATCCTGACCCACCTTTGTTTCATCTTACTATCTGGGGAAAAGGAGACATGAGGGTATTTACCAATAATACTGATCTAATTATTTTATTACTCCTGTCTCGACTCATAATTTTAATTTTAAGGGTGACAGTCATTTATCTCTTCTTTGTTTTACTCATTGTGTTGCTAGACCAATAGGCTGTTTATCACTTAATTACAGGACATTTTAAGCAGATTCCCCATCTAATAAAAACAAAAAGGATCTTTGGGCACTTTCTATTTTAACCTTAGGTTTACATAATTTTAAAGATTATTTATGTACAGAAAAGGCTCCTCCTGTGGTTCAAAACTGTTCCCAAGTTGAGGTTCATCTTAAAAGTTCATGGTCAGGGATAGATAGACTATTTGGATTTCCTTCCTGGCATAAATGTGTGTATATTGAAAAAGGATTTAAATTTTTCCCTTGAGATTCTTCTTTTCCAATATGTGATCATTCTATCTTTTTCTCCTGATCATGATCATCACAGATTTTCAACAACAACGTCCTTTCTTTGCTAGACAATGGCCAAGTATTATGTTGTCTAAACCGGAACCTATTTATCAATGGTTCTCAGTTGGATGGGTTACTCCTATCCAGGAGTAGACTTTAAATTCTAGATGGCCAAGAATATAACTGGTGGTTCATGACTTAAAGGCTGTTTTACTATCTCTCAGGACCTTGAGGACAAAACAGAAAAATATCCACAATCATTCTGGGAACTGCTACAGGAACTCTGGACACCACAATTGATTATATCAACTAAGAATCCAATTCATGTCCTCAGTCTCTTAAAAAGCCTAAGCAGATAGTTATCATGCCTGTGGCACGAAGCCCACCATATGTAGCCTGTTTAATTAAGGATAGGTTATGGTATTCATCCAGGGGAGAAAAGGTTTGTAAAAGTATGTTGTCCTTCTAATAGACCCTCTCTTACTTTCGGGATTTATGATGAGCATAGATGATGTTATCGGCAGGGGGATTGACATGCAGAACCTGGCCTTTCGTTAAAGATTACAAAGATTTAAGACTGCTGTACTTTGACTAAGGAACAAAGACACTCTCTGAAGAAGCAGCTTAACCAGTTTTATGAGAACCAATGTAGGCATTTTTAGATGCTTTTAGAATATATTATAAGATTGTTAGAGGGGTCTTTTAGATGGGATCTTAAGTACAGGTGTATACCCATAATGACGAGAAAAAGAAGAATAAAAGGAGAGAGAGAGAGAGAGAGAGCAGCTGACAGCTCTCTCTCTGGAGATTGCTCCAACAGAACGACTCCTGTCTCATCCTTTGCACCGATGCCACTCATCCTTCAGGACCCCCTGGACCCCACTGGGGCAGGACCCCAGCAAACACCCTCCTGTGTCCCCCAGAGCTCACCTAATCTGCTTCCAGTTCTACCAGGAGTGTGGACTTGCACACCCAGGACATGGGTGAGAAGACTGAGGCCGACAGCCCAACTCCCCCAGCTGGTGAGTGGAGCTCCTGCTACCCATGCCCTCTGCCTGCTTCTCATCCCAGACCCCAGCACGGGCACCTCCTGCATTAGCAGAGCATGCTCTAGAGCATCCCTGTCCCATAGACCTTCCTGGGATGCAGAAAAGCCTTGCAGTCACCCTGTCCAATATGGCAGCCACCTGTGTCCATTGAATTTCAGAATTGCCAGTGGGGGGGTGGGGGTTGACTTGAATTTTGACTCTATTGTCATTCATTTCAATATAAACAGCCCCCTGAGATTGGGGGCTACTGCAGCTCAGTGTAAGAAGTTCCAGGGACACAACACCTTGCCGCTAACTCACTGAGCCTTGGACCCACAGGGTCTGTTGCTAGAAACCTTCTCCTATCTAGTGACCTGCCCTAGGTCTGGCAGGGGCAGCTGTCTCCCCGGGGGACAAGTTGGCTTCCTCTAGCTCATCCAGTCACCTGTTGGTGGATCCCAGTCCTCTCTTCTCGCTGACGTGTCCCTGTGGCTGACAGCAGGACTGGCAACTTGAGATGGAGTAAACAGAGCCAGCCCGGGGCCCAGAAGGGCCTCATCTCCTCACCTGTGAAGCCCTCTGATGACACCTGCCATCCTGGGGTTTGAGCAGCACTAGCTCAGGGAGGGGTCCTCAGGCCAACCAAAGGGCTGTGCACGTGTGAGCATTGGACTTCTTTTGATTGTCCTTAGTTCCCAGATGAGTCTCAGCCTGAAGGGATCCAACATCCCTGCTAGAGAACCCCAGAGCCCTTCTGCAACCCCCAGCTGGTGAGAGGCACTCAGAAAGCAGACAGTCCTGCGTCTGGGAAGGGAGGGCCTCGTCTTGGGACCCACACGGACCCTGACACACTCAAAGTCCCAACCTGCAGCCATGGACCAGAAACATCCAGGGACGGAGACGGATTTCGCTGAACATGCCTTCCCTCCTGGGACGAGTCCTGGCCCGGGGGACCCACACAGGCAGCACACTCATATGCACTAGCGGTGCCATCGCCTGGGGCTCCGGACCTAATCTCAAAACTCACAATCATTTTTAGGCACTCTCGGTCACCAGGACACTGTTACACTGTCTTCGGTGCAATTGCTTTTCATTCACGACAACCCATAAGACACGCAGGAAGTCATCATGAGCCCAAGTCAGAGACAGGGAAACTGAGGCACCAGGAAGTGAAGCCTCCAATAAGTCAACACAGACCGGGGTCTCCACAGTCAGTGGGGGTCTCCGGCTGTGTCCTGCCCTGCCCCGCTCTGCTGGCCCAGACACCAGCATCTCTGCACGTGCCTGACCCTGGGTGAGCTGCCCTAGTCTCTGGGGAGGTAGCTGCGCTTCAGCCCTGCTTCACACATCTGGGGTATTCTAAAACACAAGCCCTAGAGACAGTCCAGGCAGCTCGCAGATCTTGTGCACAGCACTTCTGTTGCCCACCCAAACCCAGCTCTTGGAGCCCGCAGAGCCAGTGGCCCCAGAAGGCCTGTGTGGCCTCATGTCCTTACCTGAAGGCTTGCATCCTGCAGGGTCTCCTCCCCAGGGGGCGGCAGGCTGCCTCTGAGTGGAGCAGGAAGAGGAGAAGAGAGATTAGGTGGCTGCAGGTACCCCTGCACATTTCTATCCTGTGGTCCCAGCGAGGCAGTGGAGACTGCCATTTGGGGGCCGGTGTTGCTGCTTATAAAGAAGGTAGTCACTCACCGGGGCCAGGCTGCTGCCACCAGTCCCACTGCAAGAAGCGGAAATACCCTCGCAATTCCAAAACGAGAAACCCTTGCTGTTGTCACTTTCAACCCCAACGAGTGTCGCAATGGGGTGTTGTAACCGATGCCCTCCCCTTTTTCCCCTGTGCAATTTCCCCAAAATCAAGATTTCTATTTCCCCTTCACTGGGTTCGTGGGAAGAGAACAATGAAAGTCCAAGTCCCTCCTTTGCCTGACAGGTAGTCTGGGATGTTGACTTGTTAAAAGCAGATCTGAGCAGAAATGTCCCCTTGTCCCCACAGAGTCCAGAACAGGGCTCCCAGTACGTGGGATTGTATCATGTCACTCTGTTTTCTGTGAAGGAGGGATGGCCTGCTGGACTTTGGGCAGGGGACTGCCAAACACTCTGTACAGAACCAGATTGTAAATATTTTGGGCTTTGTGGGCCGTCCAGCTGACGCGATCACCCAACTCAGCCGTCCCGCTGAACAAGCGGCTACGGACTGTCTGCAAACAGGAAGGTCACACTGTGCTCCAACACAACTTTATTTACAGACCAGGGGGCCACCGGAGTGCGCCGGAAGTGTGCTGATCCCTGTTCTAGAGAAAAGCAAGTCCTTCCCGAGAGGTACTCTCAAACCAGTTCTCTCCCCACTCCCCACATCTTTAAAGACATGGTCTTGGAGAAATGGAGGGCACTCAGCCCTTGGATAGAAATAGGCCCAAATTCTCCCTCTGCATCTAGGCCTCAGCGTGAAGATGACGGTGTCCTCCTTGCAGGTGGCGGGGCGGGGGGGGGGGGGGGGGGGGGGCGGGGGGGAGGGGAAGGGGAGGGGGGGGGGGGGGGAGGATGGCAGGATGGAAGGAAAGGGCAACTCCTGGCCCGTTCTGGGTTGATAAACATGAATTTCCTGTCTTCCAATATTCTAAACAGGAAAAGGCCATCATGTTTCCCGTTTATGGATGCAAAAAGCTGAAGGGGGTTTCTATGTGATGGGAAATGGCATTGCAGAAGCACAGATTTGGCATTTTTAGATAAGAGGGTAAGGATCAAACATCTCATTTGTTTTAAGGAGATCTGAAGGTCCCAGAAGGGAGAAGGGGCATGCCCAAGGTCACAGAGCTTGTTAATGCCAAGTGTATGTCCAGGAATCCTGGTCTTCTCACCTGCAGCCCGGGATCCTCCCACCACCACACTTGATCTCAATGCATTTGACTTCATCTTCAACCAACAAATCAAAGTCTGTGGAGGTTGCAAATGAATTCCCTGGGTCTTTAAAGCAAATGAACATTTCTGCAAAGCTCACTCTGGGTGATAGCTTTGGCAGGCAAGGTGGCTCGCCTGTGTCCCTTCACAGTCCTCAGAAGCTGTGTGGACTTGAATGGATCATTTGGCCTCTTTGAAACCATAGAAAACTATGAACCCACGGGGCTGTTTGGTCTGCTCATATGTTTGCTTTGGTTGTTCTCCTGAGCCCTGGTGGAATGATGCGATGAGCATGGACCTGTGCAGTTATTGGTCACTTCCAGAATTCACTGAAATTTCTGGAACAGCTATTAATCATCTGGGGCATATCACTGTCATTACGTCTGCGGAAGGGCAGGCAGCCAGCCCGGCTGTGCAAGCTCCCTCCTGCCCGGCTCCCCTGGGCTACTCTACAGCCCCCCTGAATTTTAACTTAGCACTCTCTCAAAACACATCTTTAGAGATGGGAGAGAAGGGGCTCTCGGGGGTGGGGTGGGGTGTCTCCATCCTGGTTCTGCCTTCAGGCAGCATTCCAAGGAAGGGTCTCACCCACGCGGGTGAACCGCTTCTCTGACTCCAATTTGAATTCAAAGGGAACGAGATTTCTCCTGTGGAACGGAGTTCTGGGCTCCCGGACTCTCTAGGCTCTGCATCCTTTTCCCATGTTCTCTGCAAAAGACCCCCAGCCAGTGGGGAGGGAGTCCCTGGGGCCCAGCTGAGCCTGAATCCTCCCCTGTCATTTACTAGCTGGGTCATCTCAGACGATGAGCCAGGCTGTCTGGGTGCCAGTTTCATTATCTGTTAGATGGGGCCAATAACAGAAGCACATCCTGGGTTGCTGTAAGAATGAAATAAGATGCTGTGTGTGGTGTCCTTAGCCCTGTCCCTGGCACGTGAGAAGTAGCCAAGTAGCAAAGATCATGTGTGCTCTTTCACCCTAGGTAAAGTGGGAGAAATGAGTCACACTGCCCCAGCCCCCACACCCTGCCCTGCACTCCCAGCCTCTCCTCTGCTTACGGACTTACCCTCCTTTCCCTGGGTACTGATCCCTGCTCCTTTCCCTGTGTACTGACCCACCCTCCTTTCCCTGGGTACTGATCCCTGATCTTTTCCCTATATACTGACCCACCCTCCTTTCCCTGGGTACTGATCCCTGCTCCTTTCCCTATGTACTGACCCACCCTCCTTTCCCTGGGTACTGATCCCTGCTCCTTTCTTCATGTACAGACTCACCCTCCTTTCCTTGGGTACTGATCCCTGCTCTGTTCCCTATATACTGACCCTCCCTCCTTTCCCTAGGTACTGATCCCTTCTCCTTTCCCTGTGTACTGACCCACCCTCCTTTCTTGCTCCAGATGCAAGTCTGCTCCCCTGCCCAAAGGAGGAGACAGGGAGAAGGGGGAGGGGAAGCTCTCTCCCTGTCCTCACGCTTCTGGCCACAGTTCCAATCTTGGTTCCATTTATTGCACCAAACCAGTTGGTGTCCGTGTGATTTCTGCCCACAGGACATCTCTGACTAAACTTCTTCTCAGTTCTAGGTACTTAGCCCCCAACTCTGCTTCCTGAATGAAGCTAAATGACCACAGTACTTAAAGGACCCTGCTCTCCTGACCAATACTGGTGACTTCCCTCTGGGCTTTGGGTCACACAGCTGTATCTAGTGCCTTCTAGACACTGAGCCTGATGCTAGTAGACAGTGGCACCATCAGAAATGATGAGGACCTGCTTAAAGGGACCCTGCCGAGCGGGAGATGGAGGCAGGCTGTCCGCGTCTTGGCAGGCTGTCTGCCGTCTTAGGAGACAGCAGAGTAAAAAGAAGAGTGCTACCACAGGGGACCGGGGAGCCCCGAGGGGACCCTGCAGGGAAGTGGGAGGGCGACTTTGCCACTGTCTTCTGATGCTGCCTGTGAAGTGCTAACCATGGCCCCGGCCACGTGGGGTGTGTTCAATAGTGTGAGCTGTTTCTCAATCCCAGTTAATTATATCTTTCCGATCTAGGATTTCCATTTGGTTCCTCCTTTGCATGCTCACAGCTCTCTGCCAAAATTTTCAATCTTGCCTTCTAAATCTTTGAGTATACTATCCACGGGTCTTTTAAAAGCTGACAACTGCATTATTTGAAACCCTGCTGGCTCTCCTTCTGCTGTCTGTTTTTCTTTAATGCACAGGTTGTCTCGCACATATGCTGTGGGTCGGATAAGTGCTCCCCCAAGATTCTTTTGCAGGAGGACTCGTCCCAGGGTGGCACTAGGGGAGGTGGAGAGCCTCCAGTGGCGGGGCTCGTTGGGTTACTGGAAGCGTGCTCCCGAGGGGGGTCGTGCTCCCCAGCCCCTTCCCTCCCTGTTGCTTTTCCTTCTTTTCTTTTTCTTTTTTTCTTTTTGGTGTTTTCAGTATTGCAAACCAGGGGCACTCTACACTGAGTTGCACCCCCAACCCTTTTTATCTTTATTTTGACACAGGGTCTCACTAAATTTCTCAGGCTGGCCTTGAACTTGTGATTCCCCTGCAAGTCGCTGGGAGGACAGGTGCACACCCCCACCCCTGGCTCTTCCTGCTCTTTGCCCTTTGCTTCCCGGCTGGCAAGGTGAGCAAGTTTGTCCCATCATGCACTCTCTGCGATTGCCACCTGTTACCCTCACCAGAGACCCAAAGCAATGGGCCCACCTGATCTTGGACGGAAATTTCCAAAATCATGAGCTGATTGAACCTTTTCTCTCTGTAAATTAACTATCTCAGGTATTTCATTATGGTAACACAAAACTTACTAATATAACATGCCTGATTACTTCTTATTGATTGATGGACACTATACATCAAAACCTGTAGAGATCATTGGCACCTCTGGGTGGGGCTGTCTTTACTCCAGATGAGTTACTTTGTTCCTGCTGGGAAGCTGGGTAGGGAGAACTGCAGCCCCAGGTGACCTTCACCCAAACATGACTTGAGGTGGTTCAGAGGGGGGCTTCCCTGCTGGAGAGGGCTGCTGAATTTCTCCTCCACTTTTACCCTCCAGGTACCAGCCCATACTGTGTGGGAGTTTTCAGGACCCTTCATCCTAAATAGAGCATAGTACAAATTTCACCCACGTGCCCCCACCAAGGAGGACCCAGGAATCCACAGCTCAGCTTGGTGGGCTGGGTGCTGGGGACGGAACCAGGGCCTCACCCATGCTGAGCATGTGCTCTAGCACTGAGCTACCCCAACCCAGCCAAGCCTTTTGGAACCTGCAGATGGCCCTGGTGAAAGGCCTCTGGGCTGGCCCCACCTCCCTGGGCCCTGCAGTCCTTCAGCCTTGGCACCTTCGAGCATCTTATCTGACTGTTCTAGATGTTTTTGCAGGAGGGTCTATCCTGAAAAACCTAGCCAGAGGTAGAACCTGGGGCCATCTTATTCGGGAAGGTTGGAATGTGAGTGTCACCTGAGGGTAGAGGCAGAAGTGACTGCAGAGCTGGGGGGAGACAGAGCAGAAGGACCTTGGTGTCATCCCAAGGATCTGGGAATTGACCTTTAGTAAAATTGAATCAGAGCATGATGTCATATTTCTTTTTATGTTAAGGTCCTCCTGGTTGGTGAGAGTGGACAGATGGGGTAGATTTGAATCAGCGTGACTAACCCTGAAATCAGGGCCGTGTTGAGCTGGTAAACAGCAAGTGTCCACTTGTGGCATTTGCTGGTCCCTGTGGTATGAGTCCTCCCACCAGAGATGAGCTCAAGCCACTGACGTGACTGCACTGAACGGGAACTGG